TCAAATTCTCTCCTCCTCCCCTCTCTCTCCTCTTTTACGTCTGAAAATTAAACACCAAAACTCATCGTCTCCTCTTCCTCTTCTCTGCTCCGTTTTAGATTCTTGGAAACATTCAGTGAATCTTCTAACTTTCACAAACTCAATCATTTTCATCTTCAAGCAGAAGAAGCGTCGCGAAGGTCTTCAAGCCACGCAGCAACCTCAGTTCGCTCCTTCCGCCGATTCTGCTGCTTCTACCGTCGACAAAAAGGTGAAATCACTATGGATCTGGATTCCGATTTTAAGGATTAGTGTTGGATTTTGAACTAATTTAGATCGTTTCCGATTTGTCTTCGTAGTTGGAGAGTTTGCCTTCCATGATTGGTGGTGTATGGTCGAAGGAGAGAAACTTACAGCTCGAAGCGACTACTCAGTTCCGGAAACTGCTTTCTATTGGTAAATTTTGCTATTATCTGTATGTGGTTTTAAGCTTAGATTCGATTCCACAAGTTCTTGAGATGACTTTTGTGTGTGTTTTACTTTGGTAGAGCGTAGTCCTCCAATCGAGGAGGTGATAGAAGCTGGTGTTGGGCCTCGGTTTGTGGAGTTTCTCATGAGGGAGGATTATCCACAGCTCCAGGTTTGGTGCATCCATCATGTATCTGTCACATTTGTGTACAACAGATTAGGCTGTTGGTTTCTCAGAGTGATGATGTCCTTGAGCAGGTAAAGTTTGCGATTATGATTTTTGGTCATTACAGAATTTCAGTGACTAAGTATCTTCTAGAGTTTTTGTAGTCTTAATCTGTTTATGTGGAAGGCTGTTTGGGCATTAGGGAATGTTGCTGGTGACTCTCCACGATGCAGAGATCTTGTACTAAGTCAGGGAGCTTTGTTACCACTACTTTCTCAGTTGAATGAGCATGCTAAACTTTCAATGCTGAGAAATGCTACTTGGACCCTCTCAAACTTCTGCAGGGGAAAGCCACAGCCTACTTTTGACCAGGTTTGTCTCTCATTTCTTCCTGAGTTTGTCCTTATGATCAAGGAAGATTATGTAATTTCTCTGATCTCTCAAGAACTGGTTAGCCCAGGACTTCCGGCCCTTGAACGCCTGATTCACTCGACTAATGAGGAAGTGTTGACGGATGCCTGTTGGGCCCTCTCTTATCTTTCTGATGGCACAAATGACAAATGACATATTGAGGCCGGTGTTGTTCCTCGACTTGTGGAGCTTCTCCAGTGAGTTTTTTAAATCCTGTGATTCACATTACTTTTGGACATGATATTGTGCTAACAAATATCAATGAATTTTGGTTCGCTGTAGGCATCCATCACCATCTGTGCTTATTCCTGCCCTCCGTAGCATCGGTAACATTTTCACTGGTGATGATGCACAGACACAGGTATAGTTAATCTTCTATAGCTTTCTACTCATCAGATTGAGTAACCTTGAGAATGTTAGCTTTACCTCTGGAACGGGATCTATCATTTCTTTCTAAGTTTGTTCAGACACAAATCCAATAATCTAAATTGGGTTCAAGTCAAAACCACTGGAGAGTCGTGTGCAAATCAATTGGTCATTCCTTGACTCCAATGAAGAAATTCAGAATACTCATAATGGTGGTGATGATGATGATGTTGCCAAAGAATTCAGTTTTTGGAAATTTCGGACTAAATTTACCACACTTTCTCATGGTATGATTAATGATTCTATCTTATCACTTGAGATTTGATTTTTTTTTTTACCTGTTAAAAAAAATTATAGATTTCTCTTTACCTATGGATATCCAATTCGTTGATGTTTTGTAGATTTTGAAGTTTCCTAAGTTTTTTAATTGTTTATAATTCAGCACTAAGCGATACTCTTTAAGTTTTATTGTCCTGAAACAGCGAATAGAAAATGTTACCTTCTAAACTGGTTTCATGATTGCGTGGTTTGCAGGGGATAAGGCATGTTTAGATAGACTGTGGTGATTCAAATCAAATTGTGCACTATATTTGGCAATTCCCCCTTAATTAAATCTAAAAGAAAAATACACAAACTTTTTTTTATTCCAAAAATATACATTGACTAATTTTGGAACCTATATTAATACACAAATTTCAAAATTTGGTACCTTTTCAACCAAGATTATCAGCTCCGTTATTCTATATCGCCACGTCAGCGCAGGAGAGATGGCCACATGGCAGTTCTAAAAAATCTCCCAAATTCTCTCCTCCTCCCCTCTCTCTCCTCTTTTACGTCTGAAAATTAAATACCAAAACTCATCGTCTCCTCTTCCTCTTCTCTGCTCCGTTTTAGATTCTTGGAAACATTCAGTGAATCTTCTAACTTTCACAAACTCAATCATTTTCATCTTCAAGCAGAAGAAGCGTCGCGAAGGTCTTCAAGCCACGCAGCAACCTCAGTTCGCTCCTTCCGCCGATTCTGCTGCTTCTACCGTCGACAAAAAGGTGAAATCACTATGGATCTGGATTCCGATTTTAAGGATTAGTGTTGGATTTTGAACTAATTTAGATCGTTTCCGATTTGTCTTCGTAGTTGGAGAGTTTGCCTTCCATGATTGGTGGTGTATGGTCGAAGGAGAGAAACTTACAGCTCGAAGCGACTACTCAGTTCCGGAAACTGCTTTCTATTGGTAAATTTTGCTATTATCTGTATGTGGTTTTAAGCTTAGATTCGATTCCACAAGTTCTTGAGATGACTTTTGTGTGTGTTTTACTTTGGTAGAGCGTAGTCCTCCAATCGAGGAGGTGATAGAAGCTGGTGTTGTGCCTCGGTTTGTGGAGTTTCTCATGAGGGAGGATTATCCACAGCTCCAGGTTTGGTGCATCCATCATGTATCTGTCACATTTGTGTACAACAGATTAGGCTGTTGGTTTCTCAGAGTGATGACGTCCTTGAGCAGGTAAAGTTTGCGATTATGATTTTTGGTCATTACAGAATTTCAGTGACTAAGTATCTTCTAGAGTTTTTGTAGTCTTAATCTGTTTATGTGGAAGGCTGTTTGGGCATTAGGGAATGTTGCTGGTGACTCTCCACGATGCAGAGATCTTGTACTAAGTCAGGGAGCTTTGTTACCACTACTTTCTCAGTTGAATGAGCATGCTAAACTTTCAATGCTGAGAAATGCTACTTGGACCCTCTCAAACTTCTGCAGGGGAAAGCCACAGCCTACTTTTGACCAGGTTTGTCTCTCATTTCTTCCTGAGTTTGTCCTTATGATCAAGGAAGATTATGTAATTTCTCTGATCTCTCAAGAACTGGTTAGCCCAGGACTTCCGGCCCTTGAACGCCTGATTCACTCGACTAATGAGGAAGTGTTGACGGATGCCTGTTGGGCCCTCTCTTATCTTTCTGATGGCACAAATGACATATTGAGGCCGGTGTTGTTCCTCGACTTGTGGAGCTTCTCCAGTGAGTTTTTTAAATCCTGTGATTCACATTACTTTTGGACATGATATTGTGCTAACAAATATCAATGAATTTTGGTTCGCTGTAGGCATCCATCACCATCTGTGCTTATTCCTGCCCTCCGTAGCATCGGTAACATTTTCACTGGTGATGATGCACAGACACAGGTATACTTAATCTTCTATAGCTTTCTACTCATCAGATTGAGTAACCTTGAGAATGTTAGCTTTACCTCTGGAACGGGATCTATCATTTCTTTCTAAGTTTGTTCAGACACAAATCCAATAATCTAAATTGGGTTCAAGTCAAAACCACTGGAGAGTCGTGCGCAAATCAATTGGTCATTCCCTGGCTCCAATGAAGAAATTCAGAATACTCATAATGGTGGTGATGATGATGATGTTGCCAAAGAATTCAGTTTTTGGAAATTTCGGACTAAATTTACCACACTTTCTCATGGTATGATTAATGATTCTATCTTATCACTTGAGATTTGATTTTTTTTTTTACCTGTTAAAAAAAATTATAGATTTCTCTTTACCTATGGATATCCAATTCGTTGATGTTTTGTAGATTTTGAAGTTTCCTAAGTTTTTTAATTGTTTATAATTCAGCACTAAGCGATACTCTTTAAGTTTTATTGTCCTGAAACAGCGAATAGAAAATGTTACCTTCTAAACTAGTTTCATGATTGCGTGGTTTGCAGGGGATAAGGCAGGTTTAGATAGACTGTGGTGATTCAAATCAAATTGTGCACTATATTTGGCAATTCCCCCTTAATTAAATCTAAAAGAAAAATACACAAACTTTTTTTTATTCCAAAAATATACATTGACTAATTTTGGAACCTATATTAATACACAAATTTCAAAATTTGGTAACTTTTCAACCAAGATTATCAGCTCCGTTATTCTATATCGCCACGTCAGCGCAGGAGAGATGGCCACGTGGCAGTTCTAAAAAATCTCCCAAATTCTCTCCTCCTCCCCTCTCTCTCCTCTTTTACGTCTGAAAATTAAACACCAAAACTCATCGTCTCCTCTTCCTCTTCTCTGCTCCGTTTTAGATTCTTGGAAACATTCAGTGAATCTTCTAACTTTCACAAACTCAATCATTTTCATCTTCAAGCAGAAGAAGCGTCGCGAAGGTCTTCAAGCCACGCAGCAACCTCAGTTCGCTCCTTCCGCCGATTCTGCTGCTTCTACCGTCGACAAAAAGGTGAAATCACTATGGATCTGGATTCCGATTTTAAGGATTAGTGTTGGATTTTGAACTAATTTAGATCGTTTCCGATTTGTCTTCGTAGTTGGAGAGTTTGCCTTCCATGATTGGTGGTGTATGGTCGAAGGAGAGAAACTTACAGCTCGAAGCGACTACTCAGTTCCGGAAACTGCTTTCTATTGGTAAATTTTGCTATTATCTGTATGTGGTTTTAAGCTTAGATTCGATTCCACAAGTTCTTGAGATGACTTTTGTGTGTGTTTTACTTTGGTAGAGCGTAGTCCTCCAATCGAGGAGGTGATAGAAGCTGGTGTTGTGCCTCGGTTTGTGGAGTTTCTCATGAGGGAGGATTATCCACAGCTCCAGGTTTGGTGCATCCATCATGTATCTGTCACATTTGTGTACAACAGATTAGGCTGTTGGTTTCTCAGAGTGATGATGTCCTTGAGCAGGTAAAGTTTGCGATTATGATTTTTGGTCATTACAGAATTTCAGTGACTAAGTATCTTCTAGAGTTTTTGTAGTCTTAATCTGTTTATGTGGAAGGCTGTTTGGGCATTAGGGAATGTTGCTGGTGACTCTCCACGATGCAGAGATCTTGTACTAAGTCAGGGAGCTTTGTTACCACTACTTTCTCAGTTGAATGAGCATGCTAAACTTTCAATGCTGAGAAATGCTACTTGGACCCTCTCAAACTTCTGCAGGGGAAAGCCACAGCCTACTTTTGACCAGGTTTGTCTCTCATTTCTTCCTGAGTTTGTCCTTATGATCAAGGAAGATTATGTAATTTCTCTGATCTCTCAAGAACTGGTTAGCCCAGGACTTCCGGCCCTTGAACGCCTGATTCACTCGACTAATGAGGAAGTGTTGACGGATGCCTGTTGGGCCCTCTCTTATCTTTCTGATGGCACAAATGACAAAATCCAATATGTCATTGAGGCCGGTGTTGTTCCTCGACTTGTGGAGCTTCTCCAGTGAGTTTTTTAAATCCTGTGATTCACATTACTTTTGGACATGATATTGTGCTAACAAATATCAATGAATTTTGGTTCGCTGTAGGCATCCATCACCATCTGTGCTTATTCCTGCCCTCCGTAGCATCGGTAACATTTTCACTGGTGATGATGCACAGACACAGGTATACTTAATCTTCTATAGCTTTCTACTCATCAGATTGAGTAACCTTGAGAATGTTAGCTTTACCTCTGGAACGGGATCTATCATTTCTTTCTAAGTTTGTTCAGACACAAATCCAATAATCTAAATTGGGTTCAAGTCAAAACCACTGGAGAGTCGTGCGCAAATCAATTGGTCATTCCCTGGCTCCAATGAAGAAATTCAGAATACTCATAATGGTGGTGATGATGATGATGTTGCCAAAGAATTCAGTTTTTGGAAATTTCGGACTAAATTTACCACACTTTCTCATGGTATGATTAATGATTCTATCTTATCACTTGAGATTTGATTTTTTTTTTTACCTGTTAAAAAAAATTATAGATTTCTCTTTACCTATGGATATCCAATTCGTTGATGTTTTGTAGATTTTGAAGTTTCCTAAGTTTTTTAATTGTTTATAATTCAGCACTAAGCGATACTCTTTAAGTTTTATTGTCCTGAAACAGCGAATAGAAAATGTTACCTTCTAAACTGGTTTCATGATTGCGTGGTTTGCAGGGGATAAGGCAGGTTTAGATAGACTGTGGTGATTCAAATCAAATTGTGCACTATATTTGGCAATTCCCCCTTAATTAAATCTAAAAGAAAAATACACAAACTTTTTTTTATTCCAAAAATATACATTGACTAATTTTGGAACCTATATTAATACACAAATTTCAAAATTTGGTAACTTTTCAACCAAGATTATCAGCTCCGTTATTCTATATCGCCACGTCAGCGCAGGAGAGATGGCCACGTGGCAGTTCTAAAAAATCTCCCAAATTCTCTCCTCCTCCCCTCTCTCTCCTCTTTTACGTCTGAAAATTAAACACCAAAACTCATCGTCTCCTCTTCCTCTTCTCTGCTCCGTTTTAGATTCTTGGAAACATTCAGTGAATCTTCTAACTTTCACAAACTCAATCATTTTCATCTTCAAGCAGAAGAAGCGTCGCGAAGGTCTTCAAGCCACGCAGCAACCTCAGTTCGCTCCTTCCGCCGATTCTGCTGCTTCTACCGTCGACAAAAAGGTGAAATCACTATGGATCTGGATTCCGATTTTAAGGATTAGTGTTGGATTTTGAACTAATTTAGATCGTTTCCGATTTGTCTTCGTAGTTGGAGAGTTTGCCTTCCATGATTGGTGGTGTATGGTCGAAGGAGAGAAACTTACAGCTCGAAGCGACTACTCAGTTCCGGAAACTGCTTTCTATTGGTAAATTTTGCTATTATCTGTATGTGGTTTTAAGCTTAGATTCGATTCCACAAGTTCTTGAGATGACTTTTGTGTGTGTTTTACTTTGGTAGAGCGTAGTCCTCCAATCGAGGAGGTGATAGAAGCTGGTGTTGTGCCTCGGTTTGTGGAGTTTCTCATGAGGGAGGATTATCCACAGCTCCAGGTTTGGTGCATCCATCATGTATCTGTCACATTTGTGTACAACAGATTAGGCTGTTGGTTTCTCAGAGTGATGACGTCCTTGAGCAGGTAAAGTTTGCGATTATGATTTTTGGTCATTACAGAATTTCAGTGACTAAGTATCTTCTAGAGTTTTTGTAGTCTTAATCTGTTTATGTGGAAGGCTGTTTGGGCATTAGGGAATGTTGCTGGTGACTCTCCACGATGCAGAGATCTTGTACTAAGTCAGGGAGCTTTGTTACCACTACTTTCTTAGTTGAATGAGCATGCTAAACTTTCAATGCTGAGAAATGCTACTTGGACCCTCTCAAACTTCTGCAGGGGAAAGCCACAGCCTACTTTTGACCAGGTTTGTCTCTCATTTCTTCCTGAGTTTGTCCTTATGATCAAGGAAGATTATGTAATTTCTCTGATCTCTCAAGAACTGGTTAGCCCAGGACTTCCGGCCCTTGAACGCCTGATTCACTCGACTAATGAGGAAGTGTTGACGGATGCCTGTTGGGCCCTCTCTTATCTTTCTGATGGCACAAATGACAAAATCCAATATGTCATTGAGGCCGGTGTTGTTCCTCGACTTGTGGAGCTTCTCCAGTGAGTTTTTTAAATCCTGTGATTCACATTACTTTTGGACATGATATTGTGCTAACAAATATCAATGAATTTTGGTTCGCTGTAGGCATCCATCACCATCTGTGCTTATTCCTGCCCTCCGTAGCATCGGTAACATTTTCACTGGTGATGATGCACAGACACAGGTATACTTAATCTTCTATAGCTTTCTACTCATCAGATTGAGTAACCTTGAGAATGTTAGCTTTACCTCTGGAACGGGATCTATCATTTCTTTCTAAGTTTGTTCAGACACAAATCCAATAATCTAAATTGGGTTCAAGTCAAAACCACTGGAGAGTCGTGCGCAAATCAATTGGTCATTCCCTGACTCCAATGAAGAAATTCAGAATACTCATAATGGTGGTGATGATGATGATGTTGCCAAAGAATTCAGTTTTTGGAAATTTCGGACTAAATTTACCACACTTTCTCATGGTATGATTAATGATTCTATCTTATCACTTGAGATTTGATTTTTTTTTTTACCTGTTAAAAAAAATTATAGATTTCTCTTTACCTATGGATATCCAATTCGTTGATGTTTTGTAGATTTTGAAGTTTCCTAAGTTTTTTAATTGTTTATAATTCAGCACTAAGCGATACTCTTTAAGTTTTATTGTCCTGAAACAGCGAATAGAAAATGTTACCTTCTAAACTGGTTTCATGATTGCGTGGTTTGCAGGGGATAAGGCAGGTTTAGATAGACTGTGGTGATTCAAATCAAATTGTGCACTATATTTGGCAATTCCCCCTTAATTAAATCTAAAAGAAAAATACACAAACTTTTTTTTATTCCAAAAATATACATTGACTAATTTTGGAACCTATATTAATACACAAATTTCAAAATTTGGTAACTTTTCAACCAAGATTATCAGCTCCGTTATTCTATATCGCCACGTCAGCGCAGGAGAGATGGCCACGTGGCAGTTCTAAAAAATCTCCCAAATTCTCTCCTCCTCCCCTCTCTCTCCTCTTTTACGTCTGAAAATTAAACACCAAAACTCATCGTCTCCTCTTCCTCTTCTCTGCTCCGTTTTAGATTCTTGGAAACATTCAGTGAATCTTCTAACTTTCACAAACTCAATCATTTTCATCTTCAAGCAGAAGAAGCGTCGCGAAGGTCTTCAAGCCACGCAGCAACCTCAGTTCGCTCCTTCCGCCGATTCTGCTGCTTCTACCGTCGACAAAAAGGTGAAATCACTATGGATCTGGATTCCGATTTTAAGGATTAGTGTTGGATTTTGAACTAATTTAGATCGTTTCCGATTTGTCTTCGTAGTTGGAGAGTTTGCCTTCCATGATTGGTGGTGTATGGTCGAAGGAGAGAAACTTACAGCTCGAAGCGACTACTCAGTTCCGGAAACTGCTTTCTATTGGTAAATTTTGCTATTATCTGTATGTGGTTTTAAGCTTAGATTCGATTCCACAAGTTCTTGAGATGACTTTTGTGTGTGTTTTACTTTGGTAGAGCGTAGTCCTCCAATCGAGGAGGTGATAGAAGCTGGTGTTGTGCCTCGGTTTGTGGAGTTTCTCATGAGGGAGGATTATCCACAGCTCCAGGTTTGGTGCATCCATCATGTATCTGTCACATTTGTGTACAACATATTAGGCTGTTGGTTTCTCAGAGTGATGATGTCCTTGAGCAGGTAAAGTTTGCGATTATGATTTTTGGTCATTACAGAATTTCAGTGACTAAGTATCTTCTAGAGTTTTTGTAGTCTTAATCTGTTTATGTGGAAGGCTGTTTGGGCATTAGGGAATGTTGCTGGTGACTCTCCACGATGCAGAGATCTTGTACTAAGTCAGGGAGCTTTGTTACCACTACTTTCTCAGTTGAATGAGCATGCTAAACTTTCAATGCTGAGAAATGCTACTTGGACCCTCTCAAACTTCTGCAGGGGAAAGCCACAGCCTACTTTTGACCAGGTTTGTCTCTCATTTCTTCCTGAGTTTGTCCTTATGATCAAGGAAGATTATGTAATTTCTCTGATCTCTCAAGAACTGGTTAGCCCAGGACTTCCGGCCCTTGAACGCCTGATTCACTCGACTAATGAGGAAGTGTTGACGGATGCCTGTTGGGCCCTCTCTTATCTTTCTGATGGCACAAATGACAAAATCCAATATGTCATTGAGGCCGGTGTTGTTCCTCGACTTGTGGAGCTTCTCCAGTGAGTTTTTTAAATCCTGTGATTCACATTACTTTTGGACATGATATTGTGCTAACAAATATCAATGAATTTTGGTTCGCTGTAGGCATCCATCACCATCTGTGCTTATTCCTGCCCTCCGTAGCATCGGTAACATTTTCACTGGTGATGATGCACAGACACAGGTATACTTAATCTTCTATAGCTTTCTACTCATCAGATTGAGTAACCTTGAGAATGTTAGCTTTACCTCTGGAACGGGATCTATCATTTCTTTCTAAGTTTGTTCAGACACAAATCCAATAATCTAAATTGGGTTCAAGTCAAAACCACTGGAGAGTCGTGCGCAAATCAATTGGTCATTCCCTGACTCCAATGAAGAAATTCAGAATACTCATAATGGTGGTGATGATGATGATGTTGCCAAAGAATTCAGTTTTTGGAAATTTCGGACTAAATTTACCACACTTTCTCATGGTATGATTAATGATTCTATCTTATCACTTGAGATTTGATTTTTTTTTTTACCTGTTAAAAAAAATTATAGATTTCTCTTTACCTATGGATATCCAATTCGTTGATGTTTTGTAAATTTTGAAGTTTCCTAAGTTTTTTAATTGTTTATAATTCAGCACTAAGCTATACTCTTTAAGTTTTATTGTCCTGAAACAACGAATAGAAAATGTTACCTTCTAAACTGGTTTCATGATTGCGTGGTTTGCAGGGGATAAGTCAGGTTTAGATAGACTGTGGTGATTCATATGTTGATTGATGCTACTGCACATGGATTTGGGTCTTTCATTATGCTTTCTCTTTAGATGAACAAGTGCTCGGGAACATTATTTCGGTCGGAGATCTACATCGCCCCTATTGTTTTGGTCGCCGCTATTCTGACTTGTGTGGTTAGAAAGTTGAGAGATAACCATCATGCTGGCTGGCTTTACTACTGATCTTGTCTAATAGTTAAAGCCATTCATACAGTTCTGTTAAACCTATATCTTAAGTTGAAATTGCGACTCATTAGCTACAAAACAGGGAAAATGTGCATGAGTGGTAAAAAAAACTTGAGAAACTAAACGAAATGCTTGCGTCAGAAAGACTAGGCCTTACACTTCGGGATTCAGAAACCTTTCGGGTTTTATTTTTTATTTTGGTTGTGTTTGGATTTTGTTTGCGTTCGGTTAGGGTTTTCCATGTTTTTCATTTATTTATTTTTTTTAAGTTTTTAGGTTTTTTCAAGTTTACAGATATGAACACCGTTTGAGTTTTTAAAATTTTGGGTTCGGGTTTGATTCGAGTTTTCGAGTCAGGTTTATGTTTCGGGTAAAAAATTATCATACTTGAAATTTTTTTTTAACAAAAATGAAAAAAAAAGACAATTTTTATGAAAAAGTCACAACACTACCCGCGCATAGCGCGGGCTTTAACCTAGTCTTATTAATATAAGAATGTCGTTTAAACTTAAAACACGTGGGTTAAAATCTATTAAAAAAAACTAATTTGCCCATTTTACTTTTTCTTCAAAAAGTCAATTTTCTCCAAATTGATTTTATAAACCCTAAATTGAATCATAGTGAACTTAAAGATAATATACTTTCGTATTACTAATGTTAAATTACAAGGGATGAATGCATTTCTTTTTATAGAGACTAAGGTGATGATTAGTTCTCCCGCTCGTAGCGGTTCTTGGCGTTTTATAACAATCACGACAACCGCTTTCAACCGCTCTATACCACTCTGTACCGCTCTATCGCTGGAAATCAAAAGCTCCTTTCCGCAAGCGTTTGCGGGCGGTTGCGGTTGCGGTTTGAAAAAAAAAAAAAAAACATAATATCTCCAAATTATAAATGTTTTGAATAATTATATATTATGTTTATTTTACTAGTAACTTTTGGTTAAACCGCTCTTGCACCCGCTGGCTAACCAGTCAAAAATATCCTGCAAACGCAACCGCTATGAATTGCTATACCAGTCGTACAAACAGCTTTTATTCGCAAACTCCCGCTTCCGCAAACTCCCGCAACCACAACCGGAACGTTTAAACTAGTCAGGCCCAAGGAGCAAGCATGGTCCTAGGTTTGTGCTAAAGGTGCAAAAGCACATGGTCCTCAAAATTTTCTTTACATTAAAGGTCCAGAATTTTCAAAAAAGTTTAATGTAAAGAGGTAAACAGAGGCGGCTAGAGAACATTGCAAGAAAATTAGGTTTAGCAGTAGAAAAAAAAAAAGACATACATGAAATATATGTGAAGTTCTTAAAAAGGGAAAATTGCATTTTTAACTTTCAAAGTGTCAAATGACAGCACTTTAAACCTAAAACCAATTATGTTAACACATCAAACCTTTAAATTAGCTAAAAAGTTTGCGCCGGCAAAAACAAATTGTGACCGTTAACTTTCCAGTAAAATGATGACGTGCCGGTAATTTTTATTTTTCTAAATAAAAAATAATTTTAATTATTATTTTCTTTATTTTTAATTTATAAATTAAAAAATAAGAAGAATATTCTTCTCTTTCTCCTTTTCCACAACTCCACGACAAATCTCTCTTCTCTTTCGAAGAAATTAGAAATGTAATAAAAATGAACCAGATCTCAATTATTGCTTCAATCAGAAACCCAAAGCTCATGATCGTAAGGCATAGGTCATTACTGCAATCAGAGTAGATGAACACACAATTAAACAAACTCTAAAATCAGATTACAGATTTTGAATATTTGATCAAATCAAAATGAATAATCAGATCTATTCTTTTTACAACAAACAAATTTAAGAATAATGATTTGCTCATGAAAAAAAAAAAAGTTTGGGATTTTTGTCTTTTCTAAATCAGTTTTCTAGATCAGAGATTAAGAAATTGGAGGAGAGGAAAGATGACTAAAAACAAACAACAAGGGTAACGATCTTCGAGGCTGGCTAAGAAACTTCGAAATCATCATGAAAAGGCAAAAATATGCCTACCCTGAAGAACAAGACGCAATTTACTGCCAAGTGTTCATCGAGCATATGAACAAAGACGCGACGAGCTGGTTTTTGAATCTTCTCGCCGAGACCATCGATAGCTTCAACGATCTCAGAATGGCATTCATGAAATTTTTTGGCATGTTTATGTCGAAAGGCAGCACCAATCTTTTCACTATGGCACAGGGAAAAGATGAGCCACTTCGCGAGCTCGTGGAGAGATTCAAATCATCAGCAGCAGAGCACTCAGACATCCCCGACGAGATGGGAATTAAAGCTTTCGAAAACGGGCTTTGGTTCGAATCGAAGTTGAAAGAAAGTATGATGCTCGACGAACCCGCAACCCTCCAGGACGCTTTGCACAGGTCCCAAAAATATGTCAGCGTCAAAGAAAGCAAGGCGCACCACTCAAAGATTCATGGAATGATGAAGGAGTCGTCTCGGCAAGCATCATCTCATCAAGAGTCATCTCGTCAAGAGAATAAAAGAAGGCCTCCCTACTATTAATGATAAATCATATCATATCAATCATCCCTGATCTTATGCAGCTATTCATGTAAATAAGTATATTCTCATTGACTAGTAATGTAAAGCCCTAGCATAGGAGCTCTTGTATAAATTGTATCATTCACCTATCAATAACATTATCACTTCTACAAACTTCTATATGGTATCAGAGCTCTAGATCTATAGACCTCTCATATTTTTATTTTCTTCCCTTCTCCTTCCTTCGTTTGCAAATCCTGCTTCCATGGCTAACTCTGGTAACAATTCTCCAGCCGGTGTTACTGATGCCATCAACACAAACAGTCAAACAATATTCACAATCAACATGACAAGTGTGTCCAAGCTAACCTCCACAAATTACCTCATGTGTAGTCTACAAGTGCATGCTCTTCTTGATGGCTACGATTTGGTTGGTCATCTCGATGGATCCATCCTGGTTCCGCAACCTACGCTCACTGTTGCAGATGTAGTTTCAGTCAACCCAGCGTACACCATATGGAAACGCCAAGACAAGTTGATCTTCAGCTCGTTGATTGGCGCCATATCCACTCCGATCCAGCCCATTGTCTCTCGTGCCACCACTGCTGCTGAAGTGTGGCAAACATTGGCGACAACCTATGCCAAACCAAGTAGGGGCCATATCAAACAACTTAAGCTCCAACTTAAGCAATGGAAGAAAGACACCAAAACCATTGATGTGTGATATACCCATATCTTTCATGTTTTTACCAAGGTTTTCACTATGTTTTCAATACAAATAATGTGGTTTTTAAGCCCGAGAGGTAGTTTTCTTGTATATTCTGGTTTTGAGCATCATTCAGGTCAAAATAGCAAAGAATAGTCCAAAATGGAGCAAAAGGAGTCAAATCACCAAGTTCCCAAGTCTAGAGCACCAAAATCTACATTTCTCGCTAGAGACCAAACCGGAGCATCCGAAGTACGGCCGCGTATTCATGCCTTCCCGACGTCCAAAAGTCATGATTCTTATATGGAAAGATAGATATTTGAGTTGTGACACGCGGCGAAGTGGAAAGAGGTCATTTGGATCATTAATTTGGCCGGAACTTAATTTCTACCAAGACATGTCCGGAAAACGCCCAAGTAGAGCTCGTGGAGACTTTGACGTATCTATAGGCCCAAGCCACCGCGCCAAAGGCCTTAGCTCGTCTTAACATTGATCTAGCTCGATCAAGGAGGTTCCATTGGCCCGAACTCGGCCCATTCAAAAACGTGGAGAGCAAGCTCAAGCGGCTGAAGAGAAATGGAAACTTTCCTCTTCTTGGTGCGCCGCAACTTTGCCGACCTAGACCCGCTCTCTACCTATATATACTTGCTTTTAGCCTCTTGTAATAAGAATCACCAGTCACCGAGACATAAAGACACATTCAATAAAGTTTCGAGCCACTTAGGTGGTCTCCTTGCTCTTCTTTCTTT